ATACCCTTTTTTCACGTGATTTTATCTTACTAATGACTAACTATATGATTACGTAATTCAAATTGTCACATTTCCTTACACTCTCCTCCTATTCGTTCTCCGTTGGAAACGAATATAGATACAAATCATTTACTAGAAAACTACCATTATAACAAACAATATAAAATTATTAATATTAAGAAATGTTAATTTTCTAATGATTGAAATTACTTTGTTTTCTTAATTTTCCTACTCTTCTTTTTCTACTTCGTCTTGTATCTGACATTCTGAAACACTTGCGGCATTTCTCCTTCGTTTGAATTCAGGGGCATCTACCTTCATATCCGTGTCCAGGATAGTTTCATGTTTACTAGCTACGTCACAAGATAACTCTATAGGATACAGTAATTGGAGGGGTTGTTCAATTATACTCTTCGCAACTCTCAGCTTTGCTCCATATACAACAACTTCGTTTTCTGTTACTAATCGCTCCACAACTCTAAATGTCCATTTGAGTCGATTTTTCTCCTCGCCCTTTATAATCGCAACGATACCAATGCTGATGTTTGCCTTTTTTCCCGTTATATTTCATGTTATATCTCTCACGTATTTCCCCACCCCATTCGCGCAATTAACCGTTTGAAGGTTGTGAGAAAATTTAGAATGTCTATAGACTTTGTTAATTCGGAGTTTGATACCGGAGTAATTTTCATGTGATAGTACATATCATCCTATAAATAACTCTTCACGTGCTTTTCACTGTCGAAAACATCAAAATTGTCTTAAACAACATTCGCAATAATACGTAGCATGTCAGAATGTTTGCCAAACCAAAATATATAAGAAAGTGTGATATGTACTCGTATGATCTCATTCCGTCATTCGAACGATTAACGTGAAACGTGTTAATGGGACACGGTCCACATTGGATTGCTGTTAAATGAGACAAGGTTTCGCCAATTGTTTGAGAAGAGATTATTTTGATCTCCGAAGAAATTGTTTTGATCCCCAAAGAGACTGTTTTGATCACCGAAGAGATTTATTTGCCCTGCAAAGAGGTTCTTTTGCCCCGCAAAACATGATAAAAAAAGAAAGTAAGTACCAAACACGAAAATCACAATCCTGAAACATTAATGGTTTCAGTACGGAATCGTTGCAATGGCCAAACCCAAACGCGATGGCGTTACTAAGAGCAATCTTAACCTAATCGCTGATTGGATAAGTTTAAAAGACAGCGTATCTGAATGGCTAAAAGTTACGCACGGTATGGTAGAGTAGAGTAGAGTAGAGTAACGGTGCAACTATTAGTTTATTACATAGTTTACTGACAAATTGTCGGATCCCAGAAAACGGATCCTCTAAACACAAAAAGTGAGCCTCCGACAGACTGATTCGTCCAGTTAAAAAATCGTGTGAAAATAGAGTTTGCTCTATTTTCATCAATCAAGATCAAAGAAAACTGACTAGTCAAATTACATAGATTTGAGAAAGACAAGTGAACAACAGCAAAATACAAAAAAATATCGATAAATGTCCTGGATAACACAAATATAAATATCTAAACGAACATAAATATCAACAAAATTATCCGACAGTCTGAGCAATAAACCAAATTAAAGTCGGAACCGAAACAATCGGATACGACAAATCCAATCGTGTGAACGGGCCTATGTGCGTAACAAACGCAAATCATGAAGTTTCAGCGCAAAGAATATATTTTAGTGTTAACAGCAGAGAACGTTGATTCCTAGAGAACATAATGTACATTCAAGTGTGTATATACAGAAATAAAGAATCCCCGAGAATTCAACATAAACTTTTTCTACTAATATCTACTTTTAATCGTGCAATTCTACTTCATTTTACCCACTACATTTAACCTGCAACTTGAGACATAGGGTCACTTTTTCAGACAGAAAAACAAGGTATAGATAATGTCCTTGGTACAGAGTTATATGGTAACTATATTCACATGTGAAATAACTTTTTGTGAAGCATTTTTTATTGATGTTTTAAAACATTTTGGTTTTACTTTTATACAATTTGGCACATGGAACATTTTCAAGATAATTTTGCTAAACACAACCACATGAAAAGAAGTAAAATTTTAAGAAGATCCGTGTTTAATCCCCTTATCCGTTTTTTATCCCCACATGCGTGTTTTATCCCAACCCAAATTGGACTATATACCAAACAGACAGTACATTCTACTAAGTAAAAGTTCTTAGTACTGATCGCTGGAAGAGATAAAATTGATATTTGTGATCCCTTGCGTTAATATGTGAGAGCTAAAAAATATTTCATACGTGACGTCCAAATTACAATTTGCCTAACCTTTTAAAGTTAGTAAAGATAAATTCTTTGATTAAGTACCTAGTCTTAAATTAATACGAGAAAGCATTGTCCAAATGAGCTTTAAAGGTTCGGAAAGATGTAAATAAACGTGTCATTAAACTGTGGTCAAATTTAAAAATATTACTACCAAAATGTACATAAATGTAGCTCAGTAAAACCTTTCACTGCTTTCTATTGTATTAAATCACGAAGTATATAAAGTAAAGAAGCAAAGAAGTTGATTTTTGTGATCAAGCAACTATGAAGGCTTTATTGTTATTCATTCTTTCCTTTCTTGCAATTCTAAATGTCATCATGGCATGTATAAAGTAAGCACAAAGGTTCTATGCATGAAAAAATAATATGAATGAGTCAAATATCAAAACATGAAGCTAGTATATTTATTGGTAAATTGGCAGTGTTGGTATATAATTCATCGTTAATATCCCACATAATTCAGATATCATTCCTTTTGTAAATTCTTCTGTTTACCCATTTAATAAAATGTTCCTATAGCTTGGTTAGCAGTTAGATCATTTTAATGTATAATTCTTAATATAAAAGATTTGATTTTAAATTACCAGTGTATTTTGTAATGGTGAAGGATAAATGTGTATGGGTGAAGGATGAATGTGTATAAATGCTCATCTTTGCAAATAAAGTGTCTTGCCACATATATATATATAGCTTATTTTTTCTAAAATTACCCTTGTTTTAGAAGTAAGACGACCGTGTGAACAAAATTATGCTTGCTTTAGTTCTTTACATGTCACATACTCAACAAACGGATGAGAGATTTAATATAAACAACGCGACCACATACATATCAGTTAAAAATGGTGATCATAATTCATAATTTAATGTTACATCAATCTTTCATCTATGTAAGTTTTGTTACATAAACACATTCAAATAGTGAACGAAACTGAAGAGTGAGCTCCATACAATTAACAACATTTTGTTAGACACACATCAATTAGTCAAAAGTGGCGTCGGCAAAAAATGAAGGTGATACTTGATTGGACATACTACCCCCCCTACATAAATTTTCACAGTTCCCATATTTTCCATGGAAAAGTGTGCTATTTTGATCTCTCCCATACCTTTGAACAGGTTTTGCTTTCTTTTACCATGCAGTATATTGTCAATAGTTAGAAAGTTGGTATATCAATTTAGATATGATTTCTCATGCATGTTTAGTCATACTTTATCGAGATGCTGCTTTAGCTAATTTGTTATGTCGGTAATGTGGTTCTAAAATATCACTTAATTTTTCTAAAATTACCTTCGTTTTAGAAGTAAGAAGATCGTGTTATCAAAATTATGCTTGATTTGGTTCTTTACATGTCACATATTCAACAAACGGATGAGAAATTTAATATAAACCGCGCGACCACATACATATCAGTCGAAAAATGGTGATCATAATTCATACCATATTGTAACATCAATCTTTTATCCATGTAAGTTTTATTACATAAACACATTTAAATAGCAAGCGAAAATGAAGAGTGAATCAGCATCTCCTTCATCAAACAGTATAATAAAACATTAATGATGTCTATGTAGAACATTCTAGTTATATAACTAAGTATACATCACTCACTAAAAACAATTGTTATAGAAATAAAAATACATAAATAAGAACCTCATGCAGAGTACATAATAACATTGAGATTAGTCAAATTCCCAAGGACTAGTGTTAAATCTTATAAAGTTCCCCAAGTTTTAACTCAGGAATAGAGAATCACCTATCTAAGACGGGATATGAATGCCAATGGTTAAGACACGATTTTCGAAACTGTGAATGGATTTTTTCCCCTCATTAATCAAGAATGCCATTCATGTATATTCTTGCACAAATCAGTTCGTATTATAAAAAATCTTTGTTATTGAATAAACCATTGTAAATTATGAATACATGGGCAAACATCAACTGCACGCAATTATATTTACGTATGATAAATGAAGACACTGTAGATACAACAGTAAGTTGTAATAAAAGTATATCTTAAAACTGTTAAAACAAACATGATCAAAAGTGAAATTTTAAAAGCTCACTGTGTTACATGAATCCACATTTCACAAAAATAGAATCGGTTGCGTTCTTTCTCTGTGTAAAAACATTTTTCCTATTTTTAACATTTGCTTATTTTACAAATGTTCTTAATTTAAAAATTAATGGTTTGCTCTATACAATTAACAACATCTTGTTAGAGAAACAGAGATTAGTCAAAAGTGGCGTCGGTAAAAAATGGAGGTGATACTTGATTGGACATGCTACCCCCCCTACATAAATTTTCACAGATTCCCATTTTTTCCATGGAAAAGTGTGCTATTTTGACCTCTCCCATACCTTTGAACAGGTTTTGCTTTCCCTTACCATGCAGTATATTGTCAATAGTTAGAAAGTTGGTATATCAATTTAGATATGATTTCTCATTCATGTTTAGTCATACTTTATCGAGATGCTGCTATAGCTAATTTGTTATGTCGGTAATGTGGTTATAAAATATCGCTTAATTTTTCTAAATTTACCTTCGTTTTAGAAGTAAGAAGATCGTGTAAACAAAATTATGCATGATTTAGTTCTTTACATGTCACATACTCAACAAACGGATGAGAGATTTAAGATAAACCGCGCGACCTCATACATTTCAGTCGAAAATGGTGATCATAATTCATACCTTATTGTTACATCAATCTTTTATCCATGTAAGTTTTATTACATAAGCACATTTAAATAGCAAACGAAAATGAAGAGTGAATCAGCATCTACTTCATCAAACAGTATAATAAAACATTAATGATGTCTATGTAGAACATTCTAGTTATATAACTAAGTATACATCACTCACTAAAAACAATTGTTATAGAAATAAAAATACATAAATAAGAACCTCATGCAGAGTACATAATAAGATTGAGATTCGTCAAATTCCAAAGGAGTACTGCTAAATCTTATAAAGTTCCCCAAGTTTTAACTTAGGAATAGAGAATCACCTATCTAAGACGGGATATGAATGCCAATGGTTAAGACACGATTTTCGAAACTGTGAATGGATTTTTTCCCCTCATTAATCAAGAATGCCATTCATGTATATTCTTGCACAAATCAGTTCGTATTATAAAAAATCTTTGTTATTGAATAAACCATTGTAAATTATGAATACATGGGCAAACATCAACTGCACGCAATTATATTTACGTATGATAAATGAAGACACTGTAGATACAACAGTAAGTTGTAATAAAAGTATATCTTAAAACTGTTAAAACAAACATGATCAAAAGTGAAATTTTAAAAGCTCACTGTGTTACATGAATCCACATTTCACAAAAATAGAATCGGTTGCGTTCTTTCTCTGTGTAAAAACATTTTTCCTATTTTTAACATTTGCTTATTTTACAAATGTTCTTAATTTAAAAATTAATGGTTTGCTCTATACAATTAACAACATCTTGTTAGAGAAACAGAGATTAGTCAAAAGTGGCGTCGGTAAAAAATGGAGGTGATACTTGATTGGACATGCTACCCCCCCTACATAAATTTTCACAGATTCCCATTTTTTCCATGGAAAAGTGTGCTATTTTGACCTCTCCCATACCTTTGAACAGGTTTTGCTTTCCCTTACCATGCAGTATATTGTCAATAGTTAGAAAGTTGGTATATCAATTTAGATATGATTTCTCATTCATGTTTAGTCATACTTTATCGAGATGCTGCTATAGCTAATTTGTTATGTCGGTAATGTGGTTATAAAATATCGCTTAATTTTTCTAAATTTACCTTCGTTTTAGAAGTAAGATCGTGTAAACAAAATTATGCATGATTTAGTTCTTTACATGTCACATACTCAACAAACGGATGAGAGATTTAAGATAAACCGCGCGACCTCATACATTTCAGTCGAAAATGGTGATCATAATTCATACCTTATTGTTACATCAATCTTTTATCCATGTAAGTTTTATTACATACACATTTAAATAGCAAACGAAATGAAGAGTGAATCAGCATCTACTTCATCAAACAGTATAATAAAACATTAATGATGTCTATGTAGAACATTCTAGTTATATAACTAAGTATACATCACTCACTAAAAACAATTGTTATAGAAATAAAAATACATAAATAAGAACCTCATGCAGAGTACA